GAACCCGCCACCTTAGGTGTATGTGGCTGGCGCCTTAGCCGCTTGAGCCACAGGCGCCGAGCCCCTGGGCTGGATTTGAACCCACCACCTTAGGTGTGTGTGGCTGGCACCTTAGCCACTTGAGCCACAGGCGGGGTCTCCTTGCTCAGGGTGGTCTGGAACTCCTGAGCTCAAAAAGTCTACCCACCTCAGCCTCCTAGAGTCCTGGGATTACAAGTGTGAGCCACCTTGCCAGGCCTTGTCTTCTTTTTCTTGAACCTCAGTTGTGGTGATTACTTTATTCTTTGTGGTTTATTTAACTGACATGCCTTATTTATTTTAGAATATTCTACAGCATCCAGAGCTGTGCTTTGCACAGTAGGAAAGCGGTTTGGGTTGCTTAAAGGAGCAGAACTCAGTTTTGGTTTCTTGTCTTTTGCTTCACTAGGTATTTGATAGTCGTCCTGTTCTCCATGCATGTTTGAAGGTGAGTTATTTGCTAGGCCCTGTTTAGTATTTATTCTTTCTGTAGAGAGTGCCTCAGCTGAAGTGAATTCCCTGATACCTTGCCTACAAGCCAGTCTCCAGAATCTGTGGCAACAGATAGTAGTTTGGGGACAGCAGTGGAAGTACTTTCCCACACTAGTTGAATGACCATAAAAGCCAATATTCCTAAGTTTAGAACTTTTGGTTAGAATCTTTGAACTAGGAAGAATGACTTCAGGGTAGTTGAGTTTAGGAGCAGGTAGTCACTGTCCTTGTTAGTCCTTCCCAGGCAGCAGAGACAAGGAGTGGATGATTCTTCTTTTTTAAAGCCTGTGAGGTGTCCTTATGAATTTGAGATCTGATATCCTGATAATTGCCAAACTCCTCTCACATGGGGATAGCCCACATTAGCCCTAGATTTTGTGGTAAACCCAATGGGAAGCATGTTGCTTCTCCACTCTCAATGTTCCCTTCCAAGTGGAAGGCAACCTGTTCTTGTTATCTCCTGGCCTCTCTCCCCCTCTTTACTCAGTCCACTCTGCTGTGGTGTGGGAGATGGACAAGTTGGGGACAAGTGATTTATCTTATTAGAAAATTTGGAAATTGGCCATGTGCTTTCTCAGCTCAGTTTTCATCTTGGGAGTAAGTTACCCTGAAAGAGCTGCAGTTCCTCTCTACTCTTCTGTGCTCTCGTGCTTAACAAAGCCTCTGTCCATTGGCTGTGTCTAGAGTAGGTAACACTGCCCAGTTTAGGGGTTTAGTTAGAAGGCCCATTTAGTTTTTGCATTAAGCTACATTCTCTAAATTAACCTTTTGGACTCATCCCAATTTATTTTTTACATAAGAAATGAGAAAGTAAAACTCCTGGGCTGGGCAATATTACGTTGCCTCAGGCAGAGGCCTTTCAAGTGCCTCAGCTAAAGGTCAGTACTGTGTTTTTTATTTTCAGTATGGACGTCTCTTTGTGGAAGCATTTCTGAAGCAATGTATGCCGCTCCTAGACTTCAGTTTTAGAAAACACCGGGTAAGAGCTGAGATCAGAGAATAGAGACAACTGCTTAAGCCAGAAGTTCTTAACCTGTGGGTCACGACCCACAGGAAATGTATTAAAGGGCCATGGCATTAGGAAGGTTGAGAACCACTGCCTTGAGAGTCGCTCAGAAGGGTGGTGCCTGTAGCTCAGTGGGTAGGGTGCTGGCCACCTACACCCAGGCCAGCTAAAACAACAATGACAACTGCAAAAAAAAAAAAATAAAAAATAGCCGGGTGTTGTGGTGGGCACCTGTAGTCCCAGCTACTTTGGAGGCTGAGGCAAGAGAATCACTTGAGCCCAAGAGTTTGAGGTGCTGTGAGCTGTGATGTCAACAGTTGCTCAAAGATAAGTCCACAGTGACTTCTGGGTTGGGGCTGGGGGTGGGAATAGTCCCCTTGACCATATTCTGGGCTACAGTTCTCCTTGGGCTCCACTGGTCCTCTTGAGCTATAGCCAGAAATGCCTAAATAAGACTGAATATTAAAGTAGGCTGAGCTTTTCAGACCTACTCTTGTTCAAACCCACCCTGGTTCAAACCTACCTTTCTACTTAGACTCCAGACCTGAAGGTGGTGGTTCCTTTTAACTTTATGTTACTATGCTGCTGCAATTCCCAGGACCTCATGTGTCAGGGTGTCATTTGTTTGTTCTTTTGTGCTTCTCCAGGTCTACTCTCAGGAGTGATTAAAACAAGAACTCCTTTGTATTATAAAACCCTTTGTTACGGTAATGAATAGTCTTGATAGTTTTTTTAGCCAAGTGGTACCCAAACTAAAGTAGTAAAGTAAGGATGGAAACAGATGATTTTCTATACATACTTAGTGAATTGAACTTTGTAGAACACTCACTATATTGTTTTCACTCACTATTTGGTTCATCCCTCAGAGCCCAGAACAAGAAAGGGGAGATGGTATTTTATCCTAATATTGCAGATGGGAAAACTGAGACATTGTAATGTCCAGGTCTTAACAACTCTTTAGATGTACACAAGGGACAAAAGTGAGATGGTTGAGAATAAGAGGTATTCAGCATTCCTCCTATTTAAGGGCCAAAGGAAAATGATTATCAGCATAGCCTAGGAACTGTAGCGTTTATCCTCTTTAGAGCCCTTGGTTGCAAAGATATCTTGCATCCAGAATCAAATTAGAACATTTAATACAGCACTTAATTTTTTGGCTTTAGGAAGATGTTTTGAGCTTACTGGAAACCTTCCAGTTGAACACAAGGCTGCTGCATCACCTGTGTGGCCATTCCAAGGTGAGAGGGGAATGTTAATAGCCTGCCTGTTAACTTATTCTGCATTTGTTACTGGGAGACCCATAGGCCACAATTACTACTTTCTTTTTTATGCTTTGTAAAGCCTTTAGATCTAGGGCTGTGTCCAAAGACCATTCATTCAGAGCAGTCACATCCTTAGTTATTGGACAGTCATCTAAGGGAAATTTCTGCATCTACAATTTGAATCTCACTCCATATCTCTATTTCATCTAGAAACTCTTCTTTTTAGAAGAGTTGGAAACAGGTGGGAGACATAGAAGGGTGGTGAATGTATTACTGCTACAAAGTCCTCTGGGTAGAAAGACTATAATGTAAATGATGACTCTGCAGGAGAAGGAAGATGGCTAGGCTATTTACTTGTCAATGAATGCATCTGTCTCTTATAAGAACATCTTAGCATTAAAAGACTTTCCCACTTGATGCCTCCTTACAGTTGAACGATGTCACTTTTTGTCTGAAGGAACACAGAACTGTAGAGTTCTGTAGTCACCTGCAAACCAGCTGATTCATTGATCCCATTCCTATTGCTGTTTACCCTTCCGGTTCTAAGTTTAGAAGGTGCTGAACAATAGAATTTTAAAGATTCTATCAGTTAAATAAAGCTGTTGCCTGTGGTTTAATATCATTATAATATATGTTTAAGAATATTTTAGGTTGGTGGGGCCTGTACTCAGTGTGTAGGGTGCTGGCTATACACACTGAGGCTGACAGGTTCAAACCTGGCCTGGGCCAGCTAAAACAACAATGACAACTGCAACAAAAAAAATAGCCAGGCGTTGGACAGCACCTATGGCCCAAAAGAGTAGGGTGCCAGCCCCATATGCCAGAGGTGGCAGGTTCAAACCAGCCCCAGCCAAAAACTGCAAAAAAAAAAAAAAATAGCTAGGCATTGTGGCAGGCGCCTGTAGTCCCAGCTACTTGGGAGGCTTAGGCAAAAGAATTGCTTAAGCCCAAGGGGTTGAGGTTGCTGTGAGCTGTGGCACTACAGAGTGACAGCTTGAAACTGTCTCAAAAAAAAAAAAAAATGTTTTAGGTTAAGGCCGGGTGCAATGGCTCACATCTGTAATCCTAGCACTCTGGAAGGCTGAGGTGGGTGGATTCTTGAGCTCAGAAGTTCAAGATCAGCTTGAGCAAGAGTGAGACACTATCTATACTAAAAATAAAAAAACTAGCTATATATTATGATAGGTACCTATAGTCCTAGCTACTTGGGAAGCTGAGGCAAGAGGATCTCTTGAACCCAAGAGTTTGAGGTTGCTATGAGCTATGGTGCTACAGCACTCTACTCAAGGTGATAGGTAAAACTCTGTCTCAAAAGCATATTGCAAGGGTCAAGTCAAATCTATCAGGTATTGAACCCAAATGTCTTAACACTGTGATTTAAGTAAGGGAGGTGAAAGCTATGTTAATTAGTAGGATGTAACCACTCTGATGTGTACAAATAATCAACACATTCAGTCCCACAAAGACATAAGTGTATTCATGATCTATGTATATATGCTTAATAAAAAAATAAAATTAAAAAAAATAGTTTAGGTGAATTCATTGATGATTCATCAATAAGAGGTTATGAAGAGGAGTGAGGTGTTGTTATGTCTTCTAGGCTTTGAATTTTTTAGCTGCCATTCTTTTTGGAATACTGTGCCAAACTACTGCTCTTTGATGGAACATATCTTTGGCCCACATTGGCAGGGCTTATGCTCCTATTCAGTGTTTAAGGCATTAAGAATTCAAAAGGTTCTATATAAGAAACATGAAGGTGGGCGGCACCTATGGCTCAGTGGGAGGGGCACCGGCCTCATATACTGATGTTGGTGGGTTCAAACCCTGCCCCTGCCAAACTGCGACAAAAAGATAGCTGGGCATTCTGGCAGGCACTTGTAGTCCCAGCTACTTGGGAGGCTGAGACAGGAGTATCGCCTAAGCCCAGGAGTTGGAGGTTGCTGTGAGCTGTGTGACGCCACAGCACTCTACTGAGGGCGATAAAGTGAGACTGTCTCTTAAAAAAAAAAAAGAAAGAAAGAAACATGAAGGCATGATAAACTCAGATGAGATGGGTGTATTTATTTCCATTCAGATTCACCAAGATATGAGACTCACCAAACATGTCCCTTTGCTTAAAAAGACCCTGGAGTTATTAGTTTGCAGAGTCAAAGCCATGCTTATCCTTAACAACTGCAGAGAAGCTTTCTGGCTGGGCAATCTCAAAAACCGGGACTTGCAGGTAAGCTGTGGGCCCTGCTGTTCTTTGTGAGAACATCTGAAGGTAGGTAAAGGAGGTAACCTAAGCCTTGCTCTCTCAACAAGACTGCTTTTTTCTTAAGTCTTTGGGTTGGTTAGCTCTTAGTTAAAGTACATTTTTTATGGCCCCTGATCACAGGCTGCACCCTTCAGCAATAAAGGTCCTAAAATACGCCTTTGATAATAAACAGTGCCTCAGTGGAAACAGAGCCAAATCAGTACAAACTTCTCTCCACAGCCAGAGAGGGCTGCCTTAAAGCCCTGCTGAGGGTAACATTTTTATATACACACAAATTTCTTTTGTTTGATATTTTGGGGTTTTTTTTTTTCTTAAGCTAGTCATACTCCTGAAATTACAAATTACTCTGGCTAATTTTTAACAAATGAATATTTCTAAAGTCTTTGAATTGTCTGATTGGCTAAATCTTTTGCTGCTTATAATACTGTTTTGTAGTGATAGCCATTTTCCAATAGAGTATAAGTTCTTCTCATTCTTGCTTACAATATCTGAGTTTTATAATTGGTTATATACAAAAAGAATAGCACCTTTTTGTATATAACCAATACAAAAAGAGGCGTATATAACCACCTACAAAAAGAATGGAGGCTCGCCGCCTGTAGCTCAGTGAGTAGGGCACCTGCCACATATACCAAGGCTAGCGGGTTTGAGCCCAACTGGGGCCTGCTAAAAACAACAGTGACAACTGAAACCAAAAAATAGCCAGGCGTTGTGGCAGGCACCTCTAGTCACAGCTACTTGGGAGGCTGAAGCAAGAGAATAGCTTAAGCCCAAGAGTTTGAGGTTGCTATGAACTGTGATGCCACAGCATTCTACCAAGGGTGACATGATGAGACTCTGTCTCAAAAAAAAAAAAAAATAGCACCATGGAGAATTAGCTCTCATTCCATGCTGATAAGATCATTCAGCAATTAGTGAGTAGAGCCAGGGTTTGAGTTTAAACAGTCCTAATCCAAAGTTGATATCATTAAACCACTTGACTATACTGACTTTCAGCCTCTGCACAGCCATTCATGGTTTACGTATTGGTGCTTATATACTTCAAGGTATTATAGGAAATCTTAGAACCATCTTTAATATTAACTGAAAGAGCCCCCAATACAATCTAGCTTTGTAAAATCTTGTTTAAAACAATACTAGAACACAAAGATGGATCTTTTATTGAACTACTTATTGTAGCAGAGCAATAGGCATCTCAAAAACCCAAGGTTGAGTATACCTTCTCTAGATGTTGGATCACAACTTGGTGTCCATGTTTAACCATGTTTTGAATGGCTAGAATATCTTCCATTGTGTTGCCTATAAACTCAGCCTTTCTCCCTAAGATCCCAAAAGTGATTGTTATAACCCACCATTTTTCTTGTCCATTCACATTTAGGGTGAAGAAATTATATCGCAAAATTCCCAGGAGAGCACAGCAGATGAGAGTGAGGATGACACATCATCCCAGGTCTCCAAAAGCAAAGCAAGAGAGGTATCTCTGCAAAAAGCCCTGGAGTCTGGCATTAATTGTTGCATTTTGTTGACTATTCTAAGTTGCTAGAAAGAGCAGAACTTTGCCTGCTTCTGTTTATTATCAAATATTTCTGTGCCTGGCTCGGCACCTGTAGCTCAGCAGTTAGGGCACCAGCTACATATACCAGAGCTAGAGGGTTTGAACCCAGCCTGGACCTGCCAAACAACAATGACAATTACAACCAAAAAATAGGTGCTGTGGCAGGTGTCTGTAGTCCCAGCTACTTGGGAGGCTGAGGCAAGAGAATCACTTAAGCCCAAGAGTTGGAGGTTGCTGTGATGTCATAGTTCTCTACAGAGGGTGACATAGTGAGACTGTCTCAAAAAAAAAAAAATATTTCCGTGCCCATCTCCGTTCCTTCCAATAACTTCGATGCTTATATAATGTTGTGGGACCCAGAAAAGACAATCACAAAATCTTAGAATAACTCAAGAGCATCTCAAGTTGTGGCATATGTTATGAAGTTGAAGATTCCCCTCCGTTATAGCCTCCTATTTTCCATGAATTCATTTCTGAAGCCTTTTAAACAGGAAAAAAGTCAAAGCATTCTGCATATTGAAAGGAATGAGTTAAACCATTTGAACATGTTTGAACACACAAAAATAGAAATGTGAAAGCCAAAGCAAGAGTCAGAAGCTGCCACCATAGAAAACTAAAATTAGAATAGAGGTCCTTGTTTTTTTCTACAGTACAGATGCTTTTGAAAATTTCAGGGACCTAAATAAAATTATGTGTACATTTATAAAATTTTGCTACAATTCAGATAGGTTATATGGACACTGGGAAGTTCAGATTTAAGAACTCTTGCCGTGGCTTGGTGTCCATAGCTCAGTGGTTACGGCGCCAGCCACATACACTGAGGCAGGTGGGTTCAAACCTAGCCCAGGCCTGCTAAATAACGATGACAATTGCAACAAAAAAATAGCCAAGCATTGTGGCTGGTATCTGTAGTCCCAGCTACTTGGGAGGATGAGGCAAGAGAATTGCTTGAACCCAGGAGTTTGAGGTTTCTGTGAGCTATGATGCCACAGCACTCTACCAAAGATGACATAGTAAGACTCTGTCTCAAAAAAAAAAAAAGGTGGTGCCTGTGGCTCAAGGGAGTGGGGCTGGTGCTGGAGGTGGCAGGTTCAAGCCTAGCCCTGGCCAAAAACTGAAAGAAAAAAAAAAAGAATTCATGATATCAAGAATGAGAAGCTAGAGGTTGTGACTCTTGCCTATTATCCCAGCTACTCAGAAGGCTAAGGCAGAAGGATTGTCTGAGGCCATGAGTTTGAGACAAGCCTGGGAAAAATGGCAAGACCCTGCCTCTTAAAAAAAAAGGGTGGGGGAGGCTTAGTGCCTGTAGCTCAGTGGCTAGGGTGCTAGCCACGTACACCAGAGCTGGTGGGTTCAAATCTAGCCC